TGAATTAGAACCCACTTGGAAGTACACGAGCAACTGGGAACGCTCCTCCTTCCCCGTCCCCATCCCCAGAGCCGCTCTGTCCGCTTCCTGTTCACCCGGGGACAGTGCCTGGGCCCGAGATGGCGACTTGCTCCTGAAGCCCTCACCCCTGCTGCAGAGCCCAGAGCGACAGACACCCCGGGGAGACACTTCCTCCAGGGCCTCACACCACACACGCACCCACTCGGTCCTCTCTGCAGGGCCTGTGAGGCCGGGAGCAGCTCCGGGGAGAACCCCGGGACTCGGGTCCGTGCCCTCTCACTGTCACGGGAACAGAAGTGGAGCCCGTCGGAAGTTTACGGAAGCACCCCGAGCCCCAGCGGCAGGGTGTGGGTGGGGGTCAAGGTCAAGTCTCTGACAGCCAGCAGGGACCGCATGGGGAGCCGGCAGGCAGGCTCTGTTTTGTTTCCATTTCTCTCCTTAAGTCTTCCTGCTCCCCGAGGATTTTTCTGGAGGGGTAATAAAATAAAATGGGTGAAACAAAGCCATAAGCCAGTTAAGTCTGAAAGACACGTCGTCTCATCTGAAGGAAGAAACGGACCATTTCCATGCCTCGGGCTGACAGCGACGCCTGAGCTGGCGATAGTGCTATTGCGGTTGATTTATAGAATAATGGGGTGACAAATGATGACAAAAATAAACTTTTACTGCACTGAACTGCTCCTTTATTTATGAAATTTGGCCAAGTAGTGAAATCTTTTATCTGCAAGCTGTAACATGGAGTGGGAGCGAGCGATTATGGTGTGGTAATAGTGGTCCAGCAATGGAGGCTGAGTCAGTTGGAAATGGATTGAGGTAAAATAACTGGCGCACCATGATAAATGTGAACAGCGCTTTGCTGACAGATGATCTAACAGGTGTTCATAACAACTATATAAGAGGATTTATTTATGACCAGCCACAGCCGCCACACTGTAAATCAGCTCCAGCAGCTGCACACCGCGGAAGCCCGGTCCCCGGTGGAAGGGCCGCGCGGGGGCCCGGAGCGCAGGACTCGCTCCAGAATCCGAATCACCAAATAACGTGTTTTTAGGTAATTACGCCACAGCACAGAAATCATAATGACTTTCAATTAGGAGACAGAGCTGCCCACAACTTTGTTTACCAAATAGTTTTGTTCAGGCCCCAAGAGCAAAACGGGGACTCCGGGGCAAGGAGAGCACGGCCCTGGGCGAGGCTTTGCGGGCTGGCCTGGAAGAGGCCCCGTCACTCTCACTGGCTCCCCTTTCTACGGCCCAAAAAGTCAAATCCTCAGTTGGGGGGACGACTGGTTTTCCTCCAGCTTCTGCAAGAGCTTCCCCAAGGCGGCACACACGGCTTACTGGCCTGCAAGGAGCTCGGCTGTGGCTCCCGACCAGGCTCAGGGGCCCCCCTCACAGCGGCCTGGAACGCGTGGTTGTGAGGGCCCGGGCTCCCAGCAGTCCCCTCCTGTTACCCGTGTGGAAGCAGATCCTTCCACCCAGCAAGTGCTGGCTCCCCGCACCGCGGGCACACACAAGAGGCAGCGGCTCTAGCCCGGGGAAAGTCGGAATGCGGGCTGGGCAGCTGGAGAGAGCCCATCTAGAGCTCACCTCTCCGGCCCCCGTTTTCCAGTACTGGTCCCTCGGCCACCTCTGCCTCCTCTCCCGCCCCAGGCCAGCTCACGAGAAGGGTGGAGAAGGTGCGGGTCTCTGTTCCAAGTGCCCGCAGAGCAGCCGCGTCTCCAGGCCCCAGAACGAATGTGCCTACTGGCTAGGTTTTCTAACCCCCTTGGATTTCGGGTAAAGACTTCTAGATTTGAGCCTGCATCTGCAGTGTCTCTGGCCCTCAAGCCCGAGAGGGGGGACCCGTGCTTGGCTGTGATAACCCCACCTCTTGAGTCGCAGGGCTTTGCTCCACACATCCACTGAATCAGCTAGGAACTGAATGCACCTGCACAGACCATACCGTGCACATAAAATCAGCTCCAGAGACAGAAATGAGGTGAGAAGATTAGAAATTTTAGTATCATCTCAACTCATGACCACTTAACCAGTAAATAGATACTAATCGAATTTAATATTTTTAGCCACTTAGACTGTCAGTCTGAAAAGACGCTGTCATGGCACCAGAAGCCATGAAAATCCCCAAGGAAATTCATAAAACTGGCCCAGAGATAGAAGAGTAACAGCCCAGGCCTGTTTCCCATCTCCCTGCCCCTGGGCTACTGACAACATGGCCCAGCTCCACACGTGGCCTCCCCTCTGGACCATCCCAGACCACAGAGGTGGCCCAGCCTGAGGGTGACAGCGGGAGAGAGACTGAGGAGACAGTGTGCTCACAGCGTGCTTTCTGTACAAGGCTGTTTAAAAAAAACTTGACATTTCTTCTTCAAAACCACTTTTAAGGTAAGTCTCGGCTGAGAACAATACAAGAGTATTTCAGAAAACTCACGGGAAAATGGAATGAGAAGTTAATTTTGATATAAGAACGTTTTGAAGTCCGCATGTACGAGGGGCTTTGAAAAGGTCACGGCAAAGCGTACGTGAGAAACCTGTGCAGGAGTGAAGACGCTCTGCGCCTGCGTGGACGCAGCCTTCGCTCCAGGTACTTCCACAGCCTCCCTTCTCGCACTCCCAGGGGCTCACTCTTCTCTTCCCCTCAACACCACCCACTCTTGGGCCCTCAGCTGAGCCTTCTCACACCCACCCATCGCTTCCTCCCCGAAACCTGGTGGCACTGCTGGGAGCTTCCTCACTGCTTCAGAGGCTGCGGCCCAGAGACCACTGTGGTCAGCTGATCGTGTGGCATCCAACCTGGTCCTTGGAAAAGAATCAACATGGTGGTTAGCGTCCCTGCTCAGAGCATACACTGCGCCCTGCTTACCCCAGTGACAAGGAGTAGGAGAACGTCACGTGGCAGCGCCCTGGAGGCCCTCCGGAAGCAGTCATCAAACAGGGCACAGAGTCTCTGATTCTGCACAGGATCCCCCATCTAGCCAAGGGTGAACCCTCCTATCAGACCTAAGACTGCAACCAACTGCAACCTTGAGACGCCTCACTTTTAGTCGCCGGTCTCCTAACGTCTAGGGAAGAGAGCAGAAACGATCATGCGGATCTTCCCTGGAGAGAGACCGGCCAAGCTGAAGCAGCAGAGGGGACAAGCAGGTGCCCTCAGCCAGCACAGTGGGCACCCCAGGGCTGGCGGCACCTGGAGGGAGGGGTGGCAGCAGTGGGCCTCCATGAGCACAAAGCAAAACCCTGCAGGGCTGCGCTGGCCGCTTCTCTGTTCACCAGGCGGCAGGCTTCTCTGGGAGGGGTGGGGTGCACCTTGTGTCCACCGCAGCCCGGACAGCGCCCATGGTGGTCCTTCTCATTCCCGGGGCACGTGGGACGGCTCTGTCAGCTGGTGCTGTTACACGGGGCCCCTTTCCCTCTGGATACGTGAGAGGAATTTTTTCCCCCCTCTCTTTAAACCAAGTTTCTTGCAAGGGTCACAGGGACAACAGAGAGGAGACAAACTGCTGAAAAGATCTTAGGTTTTCCCTTAGCTGGCCCAACTTTTCTTTTTAAAAAATACATTATTTATCATTCTTGGATTCACATCTAACGCAACATTAAAATTCTTAACCTGGTACACAGTTCTGCAAATGTTGCTAAATATTAAAAATAACGCAGTATTTTAGCAAGCTCATGGCTACAGTCATATCAGAGTAAAAATTCCCCAATTCTTATTATAAATAAAGCAAATGTATTGTGATACCAAAAATGAGGCCCAGTCTGAAATACACTATGAGAGCCATTCTTCAAGACTGGTGTACATAAAATGTCCCATTAACTGAACATTAAAATGAAAAAATACAGCCAGAATTAGAAATTCAACATTGTCTAACTTGACTCAATGGAACAATTTAAAGATAATCATGGATTATGATAAAGGAAATATGAGGCCAGGAAACCTGAGTCACTGTACAAAGAAAAAAAGAAGCCTAACCTTAACCTTGGGAACTCGATCACTTTGCTGACTTCATTTCTGTGCAGGACAATTTTAATAATAGTAAGCTGGTGACGTGAAAGCAGTTCAACTGTGAGTTCGCACTACAGATGAGGGAGGATATTAACTGGTTCACACGTTACGCCGACTTGACTCGGACTGTCAATCTAGAAGCTGAAAACACGTTACTCAAAAGTGCAGTCCTGTCATGTCGGCAACTAAACTCCACTGTGTGATGTTTTCAAGAGCAGTGCCCCGAATGCACTTTTTCCTCAGCCTGTCCAACTCTGTACACTGACCACAGCTACTGACCCCAAATCCCCAAGTCACGACGCCCTCAGGAACAGGGTTAATGAGGGACACGCAACAGCCCGCAGCGACAGAGGCAGAGGCGGCGCAGCACCCCCGCCCCGCGCCCACCGGCCCAGGGCCTTCCTGGGCGGCCCACAGCGCTGCGGGCCCTCCGCTCAGTTCCAGGAGCTGCATGCAGCGTCCCCACCTAGGTCGGCGCGTCGCCGGCCCGCACCTGTGCCGTCACCAAGGTGCACAGTCACAACGGATCCAGGCTGCTCACCACACAAGCATCTGATAAAACAGCACCTTGCCTACCTCAGCAGACAGAATAAACACTCTAAGAAAAATGCTACTTACTGGCTTTCAAAATTTCTGCAGTTAACTATGTACCAGTTGGCTGCCTTCAAAGTCGGTCCTCAAAATCTGTGAAGGCAAAGTGACTCTCTCAGAGCCCACGCAGCGGGTGTGGCTGGCCTCGTTAGCAGATCTCTGCTACAGCTGGAAAGCGCGTGAGAGAAGCGGTGCCTTTCCCTGGACTTCACCACAACGCAACTAGAAAACTTACCTGCTGGAAGGTGGGTTTTCTTTCGCTAATTAAACCTCACTGCATCTGTGCGTAATGTCACACTTGAAATATTTACTTGAGAACAAAGAAACCTCAGCATATGGACTCCAGGATTACAGAGTTCTTCTCATTGAAAATGCAAAGGCAAGTGTTACTCATATGCTCCTTTATTTATCTTGTTTTTCAGAGATAATTTCATGATGATCGTTATCAATAACCAATCACAATACAAGGCAATTGCAAAGACCGAGCTTCTGCATTTAATTCTAAAGGGGTGGGGTGCCGGCCTCCCATGCCCCGCCGAGGCCCTGAGACTCCTTCTTCGCTAATGTTTGCTTCCTGCTGAAGGGAAGATGGTTTCCAATGAACTTTGAACATCCAATTCGTGTCCATCATCGTCGAAGAGAAAGAGGAGGGAGAGGCCGAAAGGAGGCGCAGGACAGAGAGAACGCACGTGGGCTCCAGAGCTGAGATAACTGACAGTGAAGTATATGTTCTTTGGTTAGCAAGGCGGAAGGGGAGAGTCGCATACATGATAGATACACACTAGCATTCTACAGCAGGAGACGAGGATGTGGGAGCGCCTGCCCCCCCACTGCCAGATGGAAGGGCTATTATTATAAATGAAAGGCGGCAGCAGTGGATGCCAGGCACTTTTGTTGTGTGCCAGCCTCTGAAGTCCAGATGTAAGCAGTCACCCCTGGGACAGGACAGGCTTCAGCTCCCGCAGCAGCACAGAGCCAATCACAGTTTTCTCGGTGTTGATGATGAGCTGGGCTGTAGAGCCTTCCTTCAGCTCCACCGTGACCAGCATCAGTGACCCACTGTGCACAGTTCTAGCTGCAAACCTGCAAAAGAGAGAGACTGAGACCTTGTATCTCGAGAGGAGAAGAGGGCAGACGGCATACATTCAAATGGATCTGCAAGAACTGCTTTTCTCAAATGGAATAATTTAGTGCAGGCTCCCTACTGCCAAAAACCCAAAGCCAAACATCCTTCTGGAAAAAAAAAATCAATAAACTGCCCAGCCCATGTTTGCCAAAAGCAGGTAATTGTAGCGCATCTTTAAAACAAAACAGGAAACGGAGCTCTATTTTACTTATTAGTTTGAACAGGAGAAGCACATGAGTAACTCCCTACTATGATACATTTGGAAGTCACTCACTCATTTGATATTTAATACTTACCATGCACAGGCCCATTTAAAATAAGCCATTATATTTTTATTTTAAAAACATGTTAAGAAATGGTACCTTCTCAAAGAGCTTGAAAATTTAATTCCTCATATCTAAAAATGATTATGCAAGAAGTTAGATAATTTTATGTACATGATAAAATTCTTACTAAGTCTCCATGAATTCACTCATGTAAAAATAATCAAATTCAATCTCTAATGTTAATGATGACATGAAACAAAACCACGTGACAGCCAAGTGCCACCTCACACTTTGCTGTTTCTTTCTTTTTGAATGTTCAGAATATAACAGAGGTAATCCGAGGTCCACGGCTCTATTACTAAATTCCAAGACACGAAGAACCCACTAATTACATGGAGTTAAAAGCAAAACTAGCCTTTTAAGCACTGCAATTCACTGAGGAGCCGTTGGAGGCACAGTGAACTTCTGTCAATCCTGCTAATTCATTCTGCATGAGGCCGCAGGAAGAGGACTGGGACCCGGGGGCCTCTGTCCCCACATGGAGCGTGTCCCACACATGTGTGGGGGAGGCAGGCTGGCTGCAGGGATGACTGGAGAAAAACAAAGTTGCCCACAGGAGCTTTTGAAAACACTAACAAGTGTGGAGCAGGTCTGTGACCTGCCGTGACCCCACTTTGCAGGGCCGATCCCCTTTCCCCTTTCTGTGCGACACGTGTCTGAATCTGAGCCATCTGCCTCAATTTGCGCGACATCTTCAGCCACAATGGCACCCCGTTAGCCCTGACAACGGCTCACAATGCCTAGAAATGAACCTGCCGTGCTGACAGCACGCTGCGGACTGTTCAAGAGCAAACCAACTGGTCAGTGTCTCGTGTCTGCCGATCAGCGTGGGCCGCGCACACAGCCCACGTGTCCTCAGGGATCTGTTTAATTACCATCAACATAAAGGAGCGAGTTTATCAGGAGGCACTCAGGAAAACTTCACTCCTGACTTAATTAAATATTAGCCACTTCAGCAGGAAGCAGATTCTCTTCAAATGAAAAGTAATTTCTTTTTTCAGTTGTTTTTAAAATGACACCAAGATCTCATAATGTATTAGTTTCATTTTTTGGAACCCTAACAGCCATTTTTGGCCTAAACAGGATCATGAAAAGCAGTTTTCGAACAATAATCAGAATAACGCATGAAAAGCAAAATAAATATGCCAATTTAACTAAATTGAAAATACCGTCAACACCTGCAAGTGGTGTTTCCAAACGCGAGCGGGCTGTTGACACAGTGTGTCAGAAAGCCTCCTGGTTATTTACCTGTGCTGTCTCCAAACACGCTGGACACTCCAAGTATCTGCCCCGCAGTTCCTCTCCTGACAGGAGCAACTTAAGCAGCCCTTTTAGGAACACCAATCACGGCAGTGTTTCCAGGGAAGCTTTTATAAGGCTTCTAACGTACGTATCCGCCCGCTTCTCAGTTGCACACCCGAGGCCAGGGACTGGGCCCCTGCACCCGCGCTCGGCGAGCAGGGGGCACAGAGGCCGCCGGCTCCCACTCACGCCCTCTCCCGGCGCCCCTCCCAGGCGTCTGCGTTTCTTTTGTCTGGATTTTTAAGGCTTTTTGGCTTCACGGGATAAAGCTATTGCTATTATTTCTGTTAATCCATGTCACGAAAAGACACAAAAGACTGTCTCTCCACTCATATATGTAACTTTCCCCACAGATGTGGTTATCACGCCAGTAACTCATTCAACAGATATTTCAACAGGGGTGCCTACTCCTGATAGGGTTATAATTGTGTCAACAACAGTGTTATTAGTCCCTTTATTTACTTAACACTTGTGCCTTGGGACCACAGAGGCAGATTATGTCTGAATAGCAACACAAAAGCACTGTGGTTTGAATCTCAGGCCCATTTTGTCTCTATTAAAAACTTGGAGTCAATGTTACAGTCATACAGACTTGGCACACAGATGTCAGTTTTGGTGTCAGCACCTTTACCAGGATTACAACGAATGCCTCGTACACGTTTCTGAAATCCGATTACGACAAAATCCTCAGCACTCCGCGGAAAAGAGGCCGTGCTCGCGCTGCAGTGGGAAGCGCTCACCGCATCGCCCTGGCAACAGTCTGCTAGCTGCTATCCAAGCAACTGCTTTTCACCAGGTCTATTCTAACGGGCACCCATGGTAGGAGCAGTGCTTTAAAGCAGAAGAACAGAAGATCAGCCGTTACGACACTCTGATTTCGCAGGCCAGGAAGGATGCATTTAATTGGAACACAGCATGATAATGCTAGTTTGTTTTGGTCCACCCTCCCAAATCTAATCATCAGCTCCCCAACAGGCTATGGCGTAACACACGTGTAGATGGTGAGGGGAGTCCCAGCGAGTAGCAGCTAGCTGCCGGACGCGTAACACACGTGTAGATGGTGAGGAGAGTCCCAGCGAGTAGCAGCTAGCTGCCGGACGCAGGAAGCGCTGCCGGACGCAGGAAGCGCTGGCTGCAAGGTCAGCTTGGTCACTTACCTCCTAAACTTCATGGCTGACCCGACTGCCTGCGCTTCCCTCATGCTCACACCACTCGGACAGTGGGTTCTCACTTCCTGGCTTCATCTGCTCCCTTGGGCAGCTCCCTGGGATGTGGACACTGAGGCCTCTTGAGAAGTCCGTGCACTTGCCCAGAGACATGCAGCGAGTGCACAGGCGAGCAGGGGCTCAGGCCCAGCGTTCGGACTGAGTCCCACACACTCTGTGAGTGTAGACGAACACGCACCCCGAGCAGCAGCTTTTTTCGGGGTCTTCCCATCTATCTAATGTGTGTAGAGTCTATTGTTCCTACTTGAAGGAGGAAGATCTTCCCCTTCAAAAACTGGGTACTTGACTTTGTATTATGCAATTCAGAGCATCTTGAATTGAGTCCCTGTTGTAATTCTTATCTTTAAAGACCTAAGAATTTTTAAATATCAGCAACCTGTATTCCCTCAAGAGTCCCCAGCAATATGAACCTTTTTTGAATGGAGCTGTGACACAGGGAGCGACTACGAGGAGGCCAGTCAACCTCGGAAAGCAGTAACGCCACAGATGAGAGCGAGTACGCGGGATGACAGTTCAAGATGTATTGCCTGTGTACGGCGGGCTCCAGGTCATTAAAGGATACCATCTAGGTATTTTTCATAATTTTTCATTTCATTCTATCACCAGGCACTGGTTGTTTGTAATCACCAACTGAGAAGGTATAACTGTTTGGATATATCTGCATTTCATCTTATTAATATCTTTTTCTCTGTTATCTCTAGCAACTGATATTTAATCTTTGAGGCCTGTAAGAATTCTTAAGATTTAAGAAAAAGAACAGAAGCAGGTTGCTAAAGCTAAATGAAAAAATGTTTCAATCTTCTCAAAAAGTTGTTTTGCCTTAACTCACGTCAGAATTATGAGAATAGGCAAATAACAAGAAAATTGAACAAATATGTTACCCATAATACACAAATTCACTCCCTCATTGTGCCTAAACCATGCTTTTTCTGATCTGAGAAACTGGCTACAGATTTGTTAGAAGGAAAGGAATCCTACAACTCAACTGTTGCAGCAATTACAATGTTAAGAACACAACATGACTTCAACATGTTTATCTGGGAGGCTGCACCAGCCTCCAGGGCATTTGGGAACACAAAATTCTTTACGGAGAATCAGACATGTAACACCAACGCAGCTGCTGAGACATGATTCTGCTGCTCTTGGATGGTCTCCCTGCTTTCTGGTTTTTTCTATTCTGAGCTCAATTTTCTCGTGCTTTCTGTTCTACTGGTTACCAGGAGCTGTGACAATGGCCCGCTCAGGCTAAAACTTTTTTTTCTGCTCTGTACATGAAGCCTTCAATTACTGCCTGCTGAAGCAGACAGAATCCTATTAGTAAGAAAGACGATCACAGGGTGCAGTGCCCTGCCCTAGCTGTATAAAAATAATTAGTCCAAAGTTGACAGATGTGTAATGAAGTCGCACAATCATTATATGTAAGAAATACTGGTTTGAATAAGCCCCTAAACATCAATACCAAAGCATGGTGATTGGGAGTGTTATCTTCTAAAGGATTTAGGATTATAAATCCTTATATTATCTTGGGGTGATATAATAGCACATTTTAAACTGGCAGAGAATTTGTTAAGTTGTAAAAAAATTCTATTTTATTTACTATAGGATGATAAAGTTAAGTTTATTATACTACTGAATCAATGATGAAAAAATACACGATTCAAGTTTCAAGAATTTAAAAGCAATGTACTTCCCCATATTTTCACAAAACTGACCAACAACAGTATTTCCCCTAACATACAAATAGAAGCATTAAAGCCAGAAATAAGTGACCATCATAACTGAGGCCTACTTTCCAATCTTTAGAGATGGCATAAAAAACATGTTCCACATTCTCAGGTCAATGATGAATTCTTTCTTTACAAAGAGACGTTCGAATAATCTGTGAACTTCCTCAAAGACAACATAAAATATCCCGTTTTTTTCAGAGCATTTCTGGTTTATTTGGTGGGGGTACGTAAGTTAGGTGTTAAGAAGAGAAAAAGAGAAAACAAACACACCCCTACCCCATTATGATTCTTTACACAATTCTGAACACAGAAAAAAACCATCAAAATACCCTTCTTTCATTTTTATATGAAAACAGTTAATATCCACTCGTCAAAC